TTTAAATTATGTATATTTTTACGGGCATATAAAATATTTGAGTAAATGTACTGTGATGCCACAGTCATGATACTAGTCTCCTTAAACTTTTCTCTGAGAGATACCCGAGAGCCTAGACGGTACACAGAACGAATCGCTCGTTTTTTTAATTGGGGACCAGTTGTTACTAGATTTTTGTACAGATGGGAGCCATTGGTTATATCGGTATTTAAAAGTAAACAACCTTTCAGCGTTTTTTACTGGAGGTGGAAGGTCGTTCCAGCACTTACTCGCTGTGAAACGAAAGCTGCCCCTGTACAAAGTTGAACGAGGGAGAGCCAATAACTGAAGATGCGGGTCCCGAATATATTGGACATTTCACCATTTACTTTTTTTAACGACACGCCTATCAATTACAAATGCAGTGTCACTCTGAGCTTTATATCGCGTGAAGCATTGCCATTGCACCAGTCATCTTGAGGCACAAAGGTGACAAATCTCATGTGCCTGTACAGATTGGCTACAGAAATATATAAGGTGGCAGTACTTCCATGGACGAACTCTTACACAAGGAGTGCTATGCTGTATATACTATTTATATACTAACCTGGAATACGTGTCTATACAACTGCGCGAACCGCTCCTTGATTCGCTGTCGTTCGGCTAGGAGCGTGTGGTGGTCTCTTTGGACGCGTTGTTTGCGATCGCGGACAGTGCGAACTTCGTCAGCGAGTGAGGTGATCTGGTCCAGTTTGCGTTTGCGGCAGTTTTGTGCTGCCACCTGACGTCAACAAAATAAATATGTATTTGTATCTATTGATGTCTATTTATATCTATTAATGTCTATTTATAGCTATTCGTGTCTATTTATACGGGGTTATTTGTAAAATAACAACAACCTCGCAGGATTGTATTACTAATATCATAAACAACAACGTTCCATGACTTAATTAATATTTCATCAGATTTCCCTTCCTCTCCTTTCCATCAGCGGACCACCCGTGCCGGACTGCGTTGCCACAGTTGGACGGTCAGTTCAATACCGTCCCGCACTAAAAAGTTTGGCAATTCGTTTTTATGCCGAACCATCAAATTGTGGAACCAACTCCCGGCGCATGTATTGAAGAGAAACTTCGTTTGAAGGACCCTCTATAACATCGGGTCCTTCAAACGTAGTGTGAAGAAGCATTTGGCCAGACCGGCAAAATGATAGTGACGGAGTGAAGATATTTGTGTTTTCCATCCGTCACTCTCATCTCTGGACTGTATTCGCACTTTCCATCAGGCGCGGTGCAGTCATTTTGCCGAGTCACAATAAAAAAAAAATAAAAAAAAAAATTACTTCAGTACAAATATACCTATTATAAAAAAATACACCTATTTATATCGAGTTTTTAGGTTTTTGCGATTGTTACAAATTGAAATGCACGGTTGTTTGAAAAAAAAAAACAAATTACGCGATCCAAGAAAATACTTTCATTCCCTAAACATATTTAACTAAATCGCTCTAAACGGTGTTAACTCTGTGCGGTAACAAAAGAAAGCGCCTAAATACCAGCCCAATGCTTAAAGCTTTATTGTTTAAAGCCAATAAACATTATTATTATTAATGCAAAACACAGGGGCGGGGTTGGGGCGTCTCAGGGAAGACTTAGTACCGAATACAGACCTAAAAAGTGTCAGATAGCTCAACAAAAACTTAAAAGTTTATTTTTGGTAAATTAATTACGTTTTCGGTCATTCTCGGATTAAGGTAGGCGTCCACAGATCCGCAGCGCACGTATCGGATGGATCGCATCAAACGGCTCCGTTTGTGGCAGTGCGTCCACTGTATCCGCAGCAATCGTATTGCCGACGCAACTACTAGCTATCGGATTGCCGAGGCCACTTCTCGTAGCGAGCGGACCATAGCGACTTATGTGTGCGAGAGAATGGATTTGGAAAGTGATTAAGAACAATTTGTCGTGGTAGCTTGTTTGTTGGCAGAAGAAGAAAGAAGAGAAAAGAAAGGAAACGTGATATCTGGATACAAGACATATTTAAGAAGAGATCGCAACGCGTGCGTCCACAGATACGCAATCCGTATGACATCGTCGGCACGCAACGGAAAAGTTGCCCCTCCGAGCAACTGCGTCGGCATTACCGATAGACCGGTGCGTGCGGTCCGTGCTATCAGTGGACGCAGTTGTATGAACGAGTCTTGTGTTGAGAAATATTATTGAATATTTACACGATAATATGGTAGAATGTTTAAATAATAAAAATTGCCAGGAAAATGAAGTATTAGTCCGGGAACGACCGTTTTGTAAAAAATAATTAAGCAAAAGTTGAAGGAGCAACTGTATAATGGAAATAAAAAATACATGTTAAATTTTTTTTTTTCAAAAATTTAAGAAATAATTAAGTTATGACGTCTCAGTTTTCCGAAAATTTTTGAACAGTATTGACACCTGACAATCAACAGACGCCGTTGCTATAGCAACAAGAACGGTGTTGGTCAGCGCGCGAGTTTATGTATTTGACAGACAAAGCACTGAACTGACGCGCGATGCGTTGCTGGTGCCTAGGCGTCTAGAAAACTCGGCGCAAATAGCTCAATTTTATTTATTATTTCGAGGTAAACACGCGTTAAAAATTATGGGGAAATATTAACATCAAAAAAATGGAGAAAATTTGTGTTTTATTTGACTAATGGAAAAAAAATGGTCAGTGATTTTTTTATCACTCTGTATTATAGGAACATTTATGTCTTATTATAATTTTAATTAGTAGTAGAGACAAATAATTATTAAATTAACTAATTAATCGAACACTTCTCTCATAAGAAATATGACAAATTGATTCCTCCTACGTAAAGTATCGTAGAAAGAGATTCACGTGTTATACTCAATTCAGTGAATTCACAACTTTAAAACGCTCCCCTGTAAACTTGGCAATTTCGACATACGATACTTTTCGTAGGAGGGGTCGAAATTATAATTTTTTTTTTAATGCGGAAATCCTGTAATTGTTTTTCGAAGACCACATTTTTATCTAAATCTTTAATATAATTAGTGATATATTTTCATCTATGTAGATCTAAAACCAACCTTGTTCTTCCCACGCCGTCTAATGTCTCTGATGAGCGACAGCTGTGTCTCACTTAAGTCATGTTTTGAGAGCCGTTCGTTGAACTCGTCCATGGGCAGGTTTATTATGTCCTGTACATCCATTGGGATGCCTGCAACAATAATTATAACAATAATAGTCTATGTCGTCCCACTACTGAGCACAGACATATAAAATAGGAGTCGTGGCTTCAGGAATTATGAAACAAACCTAACCTAGTCTTTCTTTGCGATAAGCATCCAAAATAACCAGAAAGAACAACGGTTCCGTTATAAATCGGTTTTGGGATTATGAACATTCGAGCTAACGTTATTTCGGGCAAATCTAATTTCTGACAAAAAGAAAAAAAAGTTTCCTTCTGTATGATGGACATTATCAAATACCAATGTATTGTTGGACAAGGTTTGAAAGATCCATGGAAAAAAATGTCTCACCGAGAGCTTTGGCGCGTTTCTCGTCACGACTTAGGTGGTGCCCGCTCGAGGAACCGCCATCGGACATGCTGCCATCCGTCAGCCGGCGCACTGACAGACAAACAACAATTCTTATTAATTAGGACAGACGGTGAACTGAATATCTGGCATACAGTTGCCGTGGACTGTTTATGCTTTCAAACATTTGGTAACAAGTCAACGGCAGCAAAGAGTAACCGCTTATCTGCAAAATCACAATTTTTAAATTTTGCAAATAACTGCAAATTACTATCAAACTGCAAATTACTATCAAGTTAATTTTTTTCGATGCAACAATCCGAATTACTACAATTTTGAGAAATGAGGCAAAACAAAAAGCTAGTATCTAAAGGATATTCAGAATATAAATAAATGATTCTCTTAAGTTTTCACTTTCAAAACTCTACTGTAAAATCGTGATTTTGCATGTAACCTGTTACTCTTTGCTGCCGTTGAAATGTTGTCAATGATTTTCTAGTGGCTTAGAGCTAGAATAAAATAGCTGGAGTCGAACCAGTGACCTAGCCATATCGTGGCTGATGCTCTCTCAATTACAGAGTCTTACGATTTTTTCTCTGTTACAGATCTTTGTTTTTTGTTTTAAGCTTGCCGTAACGCCACTTATGACAAATCTACGAACGTTTTTCTTCACTCCGACACTTAGGGCATCTCAAAGTCAAAGTTAAATAATCATTTATTCCCCAGGTAAAACTTATACACTTGAGAACGTCATTTTTAAGCTACTGCTCGTTCACTGTGCCGACTTCCCTGAGAAGAACGAGCAAGAAACTCTAGGGATTGCTCTTTTCAAATCATCGAGTATATAACCAGAAATAGAGACGAAATGTCATTTAATTTGTTTGAGAACTATTCTGCCATATCATTACGGTGACAACTGAGCTTCGATTGGCTAGAGGTGTCGTCAATTGTTTCACTTTAAATCGATCAGTTTAACTTGAGCATTGCTGTAATGGACGAAAATTACATATTTAATATTTAATTAACGATGAAATGTGTTTCCGTTTGTTTTGTAATTAGATGTTTTGCTGTTTTTCCCACACCACAGAATAGAACAGCACGGCATTGTTAGAGATATTGTCTTTATTACAATAAATGCAGAATATTTTTTGGAATATACGGAGACGTACACACAGGTCAGTAGTTGGCCTGTCTATATTTCAGTGCAAACGAGAGTTGATATTTATAAGAGCTTTATCGCTAATGTGTTACCAGGAATATATGGCCCTTATTTCGTCTCTATTTCTGGTTATATACTCGATATTTCAAATAAATTCAAATGCTATGGAATACACCATGAGTCATATTTGTGTGGAATCTGGACTCATGTTGTGTTTCCATACATCTTTATCTTTTTCCATACACCTGTAAATTAGACGTTTATAACGGCTCTACAGTGACACCGCTATGGCACTGCAGCACTTCTACAACCATCTAAAAAAGAAAGCGTTAAAGTTGCTGCGTTTAAGATATTTTTTGAACGCCGTGATAGGGAAACCTGTGTCGCGAGTGCCATGGACACACACATAGACAACCACAAATTAAACCCAAACTCACGAGAGAAATAAATGAAGGCCATACACATATTTCTCCTGGTCCGGGAATCGAACCTGGGATCTCTGCGTCACAGTCCTCTGCCTCTGTGGCCGAACGGTTACCATGCCGGACTGCCATGCAGAGGTCCCAGGTTCGATTCCCAGGTCGGGAGAAATATTTGTATGGCCTACATTTATTTCTCTCGTGAGTTTGGGTGTAATTTGTGGTTGTCTACGTGTGTGTCCATGGCACCCGCGACACAGGGTTTCACTAGTGCGGGGCTATGTTGAGTGTGTACGTTATTATTATTATTATTATTCCGCGACGTGAGATTCCAATGGTTTAAGTTTAATTGTCAGTGAATCTATTTCTTCCATTAGTAGTAAAGAAGGGGGACAGTAGGGACCTGGGGGTCGATTCAGAGCCTTACGATAACTCAGTTGTCGACCGATTCGATTTGATCTTACTATTTCTTTTCATTTTTATTCACAACAACCGAATCGAACGTCAAACTGTCGTATTTGAAACCTAACCGAAATGACGTCACACCCGCACGATTACTCAAACTTCTCAACCGGCAAAGGCTACAAATGTTATTCAGAACACAGTTATCGAAAGAAAGTTACCGAAGATCCTATTGTTTATAAAGCAAAGTTTATAAACAAAGTCTGGATTTTGTTCAATTTTATTAATTTATTTTAATGCAAGACTTAATGCATTCATATATTTTAGGCCTTTAAAGTATTAAAAATGTATATGAAAGGCTTTTCATTTTTCTTATAGCCGATTTCACCATCTAACTCCATAAACGCTGTTGGATAACGGTATCGTATCCGAATTTGAATCGAATAGCTCAGAAAGCGCCCGTCGAATATCGAAGAGTTCTGAATCGGGGTCCAGGCCCCAGGTTCGATCTCCTGGCGGGTCAATGTAAAAAAAAAACTAACTTTTCTGATATCTCGGATCTGGGTGTTTGTGGTACCAACGTTGTTTCCGACTTCCATAACACAAGTGATTTACGTTGCATAATATTAGGGGTTAAAGTATGAAATTGCCGTTTTATTGCAATAGGTTCTTTGAATTTTCATAGAATCTTCATGGTTTGAGGTTTTCGAATGAAACTTTTTTCAAATGGTCTCTGTGATTTTTTTTTTTTAAATTTGAAACATTTGAATATCGACTTTCAATTGTTTTTGTTATTCAATTTAGACAAGAAAGATGGATACTGCGAAAATTCGAGTGATTTTTGAATACGAGTTCCGACGCGGAACTAACGCGGCAGAAACAGCCCGCAATATCAATGCTGCGTTTGTAGAGGGGTCTACTAATGAACGCACCGTGCGATTTTGGTTTAAACGCTTTCGTGATGGAAATTTCGACTTAAAGAACGAGCCACGAGGAAGACCGCCCACACACGTGAATAACGATGAATTAAGAGAGATAGTGGAAGCCGATCCTAGTCAAACTACCCAGGAATTAGCGGCATGGTTTAACGTTACCTTACCCACAATATTGACTCACTTGCGTCAAATCAATAAAATAAAAAAATACGAAAAATGGGTGCCTCATGATTTGACTGATCTGCAGAAAGAAACGCGTGTTGAAACTTGTGTTGCCTTGTTGAACCGGTACAGAAATGAAGGAATATTGGATCGAATTGTAACATGTGATGAAAAGTGGATTCTTTATGATAACCGGAAAAGAAAAATGCAATGGCTGACCCCAGGTCAAATGCCACAACAGTGTCCTAAAGCAAAACTTACCAATAAAAAGGTAATGGTAACTGTTTGGTGGTCTCAGCATGGTGTTATTCACTATAGTTTTCTCCGATCTGGTCAAGCAATAACGGCAGATGTCTATTGTACCGAACTCCGAACCATGTTGACAAAACTAGCAGTAAAACAGCCCCGACTCATGAATCGATCTTCACCATTATTACTCCACGACAACGCGAGACCTCACACAGCACGAGAAACCATTTTGACCCTTCAGGAACTGCAGTTAGAAACCATTCGTCATCCTCCGTATTCACCAGACCTTGCTCCAACGGACTACCATTTTTTTCGTGATTTGAACAATTATCTACGTGACAAGAAGTTTTCTTCCCAGGAGGCAGTACAAAATGCTTTCACACAGTTTGTGCAGTCTAGATCGTCGGAGTTCTATCGCAAAGGCATTAATAACCTTCCCATTAGATGGCAGCAATGTATAGATAATAATGGCAACTATTTTGATTAAATAAATTTGTTAAAAATTGAAAAAATAAACAATTTAGATTTTCAGTACAAATCGGCAATTTCATACTTTAACCCCTATTATTTAGGAAAAAAAAATGTTACTATTGGACCACTTAATTTTGAACAGGCCTAAATTTTAAACCACACAATGTAAACAGAAAAATATTCGAAAATTAAAAAGGCCTGAAATTCATGTACTTTGTAGATATCGCTCCAGGCTTCGTTTTATTAAGCATTGTTATATAACACAGAAAAATAAAAACATGTGAGGGTTGGCTTCTTTGGACCACCCAGCTGCTAGCTGACCTCGCTTGTCCCGGACGGCGGCGGGGCGGTCGTGCGGCGCCAGCGGCTGGAGCGGCTGCAGCGGCGCGCTGTACGTGTGGTTGTGGCGCACGCGCTCGCAGCCCGCGTAGCCGAAGCGCGACGGAGACGACACGCCGCTCTGAGGCACGACGCAATCATTTTCATCACATTGCTTCGTCAATAGTATGATTGCGTGGGGGCCAAGGGAGATGCCACACAGGCGTTGCGTTGTCGCAATTGCGTTGTACTCGTTGTGTCGATCCGCGCCGTTTCAACGCGCCGTGTGGCATGTCGTTCTGATTTATATATAGCACAACGCAGTTGCGACGACGCAACGCCCGTATGGCATCTCCCTAACTTGACTATAATGCCATAATTATTAATACAAAGATCGAACATTTAGAAAAAATTCCTTCGATTGGGCCGGATTCGAACCGACGGACGTCTTCCAGCAAACCGTGCCAGACGCTATGCCAACTAAGCTACGGAACGAACCAGCGCACCTTACGAATTTTTCTATGTGCTTGTTGTCGGATCTTTGTGTTTGGTTTTCAACGACTTTGTATTAATAATTATAACAAGTGTTCAATACATATTTAATTGACTATAATGCCCCAAACAAAAACCACAGACCTTTTTCTTCCGATTACAACCATGGTAGGTAAGTAATTCTTTTTAATTTGTAGAAGAGTTTCGACATACTTCTTACGTCCTTACATAGGTCAGGCTCAAGTTCAAGCAAAGAGGTTACTTAAGTTCAGAATTAAAACATTAGCTTAAAATATTACCTAAAAAGAAATTTTATTGCAATTCAGCCACATTCTACTTGATAAATGATTTTAATTATTTACTGTATAAAAATTTTGCAAATTTTATTTTTACTATCCATCATGACTGTATACATCTTTGCTTTTTACAACATTTTAGTTCGAGTTGTCTGTTGATAAAAAAAAAACAAAAAAAGGAATTTCCAAAATCCACAACTGTTGTGTGAACCATATTTATTCATAAAAGAAATAAACATTGCATTTATATCCTCGCAAATGTGGCGAAAAACATTGTATGTATCGATCCACGTACGGTAAAAAAATATAAAACCCGAGTTAGTAATTTCTTATTTAACGTCCTTAATAAGAATGTACCATTCCACCACACTTGCACGTAAATAGCATGATTGCAGCAGGCTAACTTGACCATAACGCCCCAAATAAAAGCCTCGGCCCTTTTTTCTTGTTTTTACAGCCGTATGTGTTGAAGCAGCAAGAATAAATAATTTGTCATTTAACCCTTTTCTTTGATTATCCCACAACTTTTCGGGGCTCGTTCAGAAATACGAAATACCGTACCCTTAACCGATGAAGGTTATTGGCTGGAACGCAGTAAAGCCCACCCTACTGCTTGGCGGCAAAAATAGGAAATTATAAATGTACTGTGACATTAGTGTAAGAATATCAATTTGTTCAAAATTTATTCCACATGAAATGATGTATTATATCTACTTAGTACATACATTGTCACGCACGCACAATTGGTTATATTTTTTATATAAATTAATCTTTATTTATATGAGACGAAATTACAAATTTGGTTACGAAACCAAATTCGTTTCAGTAATTACCTGTAAAAGCGCGTGGCTGGAGTGGGCCGTGTTGAGATCCAGGGCCGGCTGCAGGCTCGGCACTTGAGGCCCTGCCAGTTGATGGCGTCCATTGAACTCTACTGGAATTACAATAAACACATTAAAAAAAGGTTTTTTAAAACTTATCAAACTGATAATATATTGTAGGATGTTAAGGTCATGATAGATATAAAATTATCAAATAGATATTAAACGTAAAAAAGTTAATAGATAAAAATAAACCCTGATGAAAATTATCAAATAGACAATAAACATAAATATCAAATAGACATTAAACAAAATTATCAAATAGACAACCGATTAAATTGAAAATTGTAACCGTTATACGTAAACACTCAGCTCAGAGGAGACCCCTGCCAGGTAGTCGGCCTTAATAAGGTTGACACTAACCGTTATGCATATGCATGCTATCATGGTGGTACGTCTGTTCAGGGCATTCGTACTTGACGATGCCGGGGCGCGATGGCACCAGTGGCTCGAGAGTAGGCTGTTGTTGTTGTTGCTGTTGTTGCTGCTGCTCCTATTCCCATATTAAAAAAAAATGGTTTAAAAACAGAGACTTGGTTGTGTTCTTGTCCCTGAATGACGTCACTAAAGTTTTTGACGAAAGTAAATTTTCTATTTATTTTATTTATTAAAGGACATCCAACAGCATATATTTAGAACTTAAAAAAAAAATTAAAATAACTTTAGTAATAAATTTTTAATGTAACTAAGGTAGATTGTAATTTCATCTACTCGTATATCCAGTAATGGTCAACTCCTAAACGGTTTAAAGGTTCAAGTTCTTTGATAAAGGTTTGAACCTCATTCGTGTTGAAACTTCTCCAATAAAGGTTCAACCTCTGGAATAAAAGTTCAAACTCGTTAATAAAGGTTCAAACCTCTACAAGGGTTCAAACCTCTCTAAAAAAACTCAAGTTCTTCAAAAAGTTTTGTGCCTTATTAGAAGTTGTACTTTAATAACGGTGTAACATTTTCAATAAAGGTTAAACTTCTTCAATAAAAGTTGAATAGACACTTTTGAAATAAACGCGTATCACTGTCGCTAAGCATCTGGTAAGATTATTGGCAAGCGTGTGCCTGTTTTTAAATTAATTATTTATAAAAAAATTGGTTACCTGGAAGCATCTTTTGCCGAACATATGGTGTTTCTTCTGCGGTTGATGCGGTGCCGAGCGATCCCGTCCGTACGCGCTGTCATACGGACGGAATTTTGAACTGCAGACGATAAATTATAGAACATTTATTTCAACATTTATTTCAATATACAGAAAGGTGGTGAGAGGTTCTAATTTCCGTGGTGGCACGTACTTATGATTTCAAAACCTTAGAACTAAGTCCAAACTCATGGTACCACGAGTTCCGTTACTTTAACCAACCACAGACGACTCGATACCTTTACATCTCATACACAGCACACTCGCATAGATTCTTTTGCTTCCTTGGAACATTCCTTTAATGTGTATTTAAATTGATATGTTAAAATTACCTGTGATACTCCTGCGCGCTGTCGCTTCCATCACACCATTCTCCGTCCGAGAGAGAAGGAACACGTTCTGAACCCATCGAGGAGACGGCACTGTCTGAAGCTGAGTCCCTCTCTGCTAAAAAAAAGAAATAAAAGCCATAATTAAAATGATGGCATGTATTCCACTTTCAGGCGAGAATGTAGGCCATATTCAGTCACGCTGGACTAATTGCAATAGCAGAAGTCCGTTATCTACCCAGGATGCTACGAGAGGCTATTGAAATTAAAAAACATCCTAATTTCAACAGGGAAGATGGTTTCTCTGAACCACCAGTTTGGGTTCCAGTATTTCCTCTGATGAAATATTTCCAAACAGACATAAGACTGCAGGTACTAATTATTATGTTTTAACTTATTATAATTTCTATTATTAATTAGTAATAAATTTAACTCAATGAAAATTCGTATTGTTAAATTAAAAAAATTTGTAAAACAATGTAGCGTAAATTGGAATGTTTCTTTGTAAAATTAAAAATAACTTTATATTTAATTAAAATTAAAAATAGGGTGGTTTGCATTAATATTAGACATAGGTAACTGGTTGATGACTGTACCACCTCAGTCAACCGTGACCAGGGGACCTGGTAAAGGGGCCGAAATGTTGGTTTGTTTGAAAAAACAAATATACGTAAGTGAAAAAACAAGTATACGAAAAAACTAAAAATTTTCTTTCAGGAGATCGTTTAACAATACATACCAAGCATCATATGCGAGTGGTTGTGGTGAGGATGGTGCGCGGCGGCGCCTGCTCCTTCCAACATTCGCATTGTGTACATGCCTGTAACAAACAAAAAAAAATTACTTGAAAAAATCATATACACTCAAAGATCGGCAAGTGCCCGGGTTTTAACCAGCTTTCTTAATGTCGGGTTAAAATCGTGCCCAAAATCGAGGGCAAAAACTATTTAAACTAAACATTTGTTGTAAATCGAGTTTTGTTCAAGTTTAATGGTATTATTACATATATAAAAACATATATAAAATGTTTATTTGCTTTTTGATCTAGAAGATTAGCATATGCCTTTTTATTGAATCGGTTCGCTTGACTTGGTTTATTATTTACATTGTTACCTTCATTACTTACACTATTTACATTATTTGCTTTACATCTTACACTTTTGCTTGATATATATATGTATAGTATTTAGAGTTAGGTATATATATTTGCGTGTGATGGACTTTGGTGGCATGGTTTACTGGGCTGCGATCGCTCACCATATGGCACTGGCAGAAAACCAGCACTGTTTGACTTCTCTCGGTCTACAGTATTTATGATGAGTCAGCCATTACAGCACAAACTGTAGTCATAGGTACATTAAAATTTTATCAGTTGTTATAGTATTTGTTTGTTTTTCTCACAGTATTTGTTTTTCTCGCAATATGTGTTTTGTATAAATGTGTATAAAACTAATAATGAATGTTCTATGTGCTTTTATGTTATACTCTGTGAAGTGATTGTAAATGTTTTGTTTCTGTTTGTATTTGTGCTGAATAAACCTGTTATCTATGTATCTATCTAAAATCGCATTGCAATAATTTGATCCAAAAAATCGGTAGGCCGCATGCACTTGAATCTATTTTCGAAAAAAAAACTAATCGTAATGTGCATCCTTAATATATGGAGTAGCCTGTTTTTTATCCAAAAAAGATTTTTTTAAGAAAAGGCCCAAGTTATATTGTTCAGGGACCAAGTCCGCAGGCAGGGAATTCCACTACATAGCCATTCACCATATAAATGTGGAAGCTTAACGTTTCGTGCGTATCCTAGGAGTCCATAATATAGGGGTGGAACCCCAGCCTACGTCTAGTCTAGTCCCTCGATAATGAAGGGGAAGGCTGTGATATATACCAAATTGTTGTATAAACAAATAGGAAGTGAAACTATTTTTCCGGATTTAAATCGAGTAACCAACCAACGTTACAATAAACCAACGTTTGTCAACCGTGACCGTGAGACCTGTGAAGGGCCCGAAACGTGGTTTGTTTGAAAAAACAAATAAACGCGACTTAAATCCGGAAAAATAGTTTCATTTCCTATGTGTAACAATCGCGAAAACCTAAGAATTGGATAAATAAATACAAATTTCATAATTAAATACCTAAAATACATTTTTGAAGTGAGTTAACAATTGTCTAGATTTATTTACTTTTCATTGATTTTTCACTCAAACTGTATAAGCTACGAAATAAATTATTCGGTCGTTCTTCAATCGATTGATTCACGATTGATGACAAACAATAAGGAGAAAAATGGTATAAACACAGAGTGAGACGGAAAAGCAGCATAATGCTGTCTCCATACGCGTATAACTTCAAGACTCTATCACAAAGTGAGCATTAAGGGTCGAGGGCACTACCTACCACAACAAACTTGTTTAAAAACAAAATTTATTTGCAACTCAAGGTTAAAAAATCACGAAACACGCGCAAAGTGTCACCTGTCAATGTTTGCGCCTTTTTTGATAACAAATGTTTTTATCACAGATTGGCATTATCTTTTGAAGTTCATTGACCTTTACAAAAATAGGGTGACCGTGAAATGACGCTGAAATTCAAGAAGCTTCTAAATGTATATTTAAATGTGTTATTTATTGTACAGTAAAAAACAAAAATACATTTAGTAACAAGGAAAACACAGAAGGTACTCCTACTTGCTTCGGTTACAAAGTTATATGTACGATTTTTAAAAATTCGTTAATACAAAATATAATTCCTTCCTTTCTTATAAATCTTTTTTTAGTAGCAGTAGACCTTCTTGAAAAGAGTTCGTCCAAGCAGTAATATGACCATTACTTTTACGTTTATTTACGTCACCTATATTGATATCAAAAGCGATGTTATCCAGTTAATAACATTGACTTCTTAGTATTGTTACTCTGTAATGGCGCATGGCGACGCGAGTATTTTGTTTTAATTGTTTGATATTCCGGGAAATAGTAGGCCCAAACTTCGGGTTTCAAAAACCTTATTCCCCTAAGAATTGACAATCGGACATTTTTTAACACTGGGTTTAATTGAAATTTGGGATCACTAGTGAGGTACCCTCTTTCCAACAAAAAAAGTATCATCAAAATCGGTTTGCTAATTATCGCAAGTTATCTCGTAACATACATACAAAAAAATACACTCGAATTAAGAGCCTCCGAGTTTTTTATGACGTCAGGTGACGGGACGAACAAGTCGTGCGCCTGGTGGTAAGCGACACGCCTGTCCTTAGCAGTTGCAGTGCAACTTAGAGCTTTAAGAGCGGACACTACCATATTCACGGTTCTTTTTTCTTCGATCGTGCGTCAGGGACACTGGCTTTATTTCAGAATGATTTTTTTTTGAAATGTACGTCGTATAGTATACGTGTTCTATAATTGACTTACAATTATATGGACGTCGGGTCCGCGCTAAAAAGTGTCCGAACTATAGGGCGTTAAAATCGTATACAGAGCGTCATTCACGCTTTAATCTTAATTAGACAGTACTGCGATGACATTACAATTGAAATTCAACGTTTTAGCTTTTTCATATTCCTTTACATGTCACTACGTT